TGGTCAGTGCAAAACCTACCCTACCTCCTGCTGCTGCTGCTGCTGCAAGATTGCTGCTGTCTGGATCAGGGGGAGGATAGCCCAATTCTGTAAAATAAATAGGCCCCTGCTGTGTCCAGCATAGAGGTGTCATCTCTCCTTGTAGGAGTGTGGCCCCCCTGCAGCCCAGGGTCTGATTGTGTTGCAAGACACTCATTTTTCCCAGAGAAAGCTGCAAGACAATTTTTTTATTTAAGTGCTTTACCAGACATACCTCACATGCTTGTGGGGTTGTTTCTAATGCTGTCATTATCTAGAAAAATCTTTGCCTCATGGTAGAAATCGCATACTTGCTGATGGGGAGCAGGGTTCTTTTCTATTTCTAATTGATGATTGTCAAATTCCAATTTTTCCAGACGGTGGGATGATCCTGAGAAAGTGGGATGTTTTTCCTCTGTGTAAGGACACAAATATATGCATGAACATGCACAGAAATATTATTCAATTCACTAGAACCAGCTGTTGTGAACAAACCACCCACATATAGCAACTACTCAACAGCAAAAACATTGGTCTCCCCTGTTAATACTCCAGACTGTTGTCTGAACTCCTTCTCCATCATCTCTGGCCTCTCACTTACTTTTTCAAGAGGATATTTGGGATGGTCACTGCCATCCAAAACCTGCTGTTTAAGGAAGTGAAAAAAGCCCCACCTGGGAGCATCAGCTGATATTCTCCTGTTCTCTCATGGGTCCTACTGGTCACTCAGGCCTTGCTGGTGAAACACTCAGATCCAGTTTTGCAAACATATAGTGAAGAAATCTTGATGCAACTTGGGGAGGTGGCACTTGAATGCCAGGTGCCAGTGAGTGACAGAAGACACTGTGGTTTTTCTCTCTGAGATAAACATAACAGTCAGTAGAAGAGACAAGGCTGTTGACTCCTGAGTTTCCTCCTTGAGTAAATTGGACCCCATATCATCCTTGGATACACTTTGTTGTTGTTGGGTGTGTCTGCTTTAAAGGCTTAATTCAGATGCCCTCAGGCAGCTGTGGCTGAAGGCACTGGGGGCCGGGACCTTTTTTTCCAGGAGAAGGCAGTGAGTATTTAGCCCAAAGGTGTTGTACTGAGGCACAGCAGGTACTGAGTAATGCTGGGTTTCCAGGGAAGGGAGAGCCTGGCTCCCCCGCTGACTGCAGCACGCTCCTATCAGTTATTTGCAGAACCAGGAAAAACGCCTCACCATTGGAGGGTTGTGAAGAACGGACTGCAGAAGCAGGAGAGCTCTAAATGTGTTTTTGTTACTGGCATGAAAAAGGCTGTAATAGCAAGGAAATTAACTGATACTTGCCAAAGTGTAGTTCACCATCAATGTAAGAATCACCTGTCAGAGGAAAGGAAGTCTTTATCCAACACCTCTATTTGGGGGACTGTTAAAAAAGACCCAGCCAAAACCCAGCTGCTGTCAAACAGGGCTTGAATTTTCTGTAATCATGTACAGAGTATCCTACTGTTCATGGATCTACACTAGCATTTGCAGCCTAGCACTGCTGTAAATTCAAGGTGTGATTGCATCAGCTAATATTGTTCCTGCTGTTCTCTTTGGTTTGAAATATCACCCAACTCATTTGGGTTAGATACGAGATGCAATTGCCTGGAAACCAGTGCCCAACTCCAGAAGGGTGCCTTGCTCATTATATTCACCTTTTCCAATAAAATATCCATGCTATTCCTATGTTGGATCATGTCATCAGGACACTGCAGAGGAGATTGCTTTCATTTTCCCCTTCTGTGAACCCCTTGAGAGGTACCAGGGGCTTTCTAAGGAACTCAGGTCCTTATGGATTTTCTATGCCATGGGAAACTCAAAGAAATAAAAGCTCTTCATGGTTTCTGCATTCACCAGGCAGAGGTGCATCTCTCAGCATTTGCAGGAGGTGTGTTGAAAGGAAACATGGATGGACAGCCCTTCTGTGAGATTATTAACATACTAGTGGTAAATCTAGGACCCGATGGGTGCTGGGAACCCCAGGGCCATTGCAGACTTGCAGAGAAAATGTCAGCTTCCTGATGACCCTCCGGAATTTTGCCTGCTTCTGTCCTGCCTTTCTGATGTCCTAAGTGTTTCTTTTGTCTTCTCAAAGGTGAGCATGATCCTGTCCCAGAACCCTGAGCCTCCTGTGCTGCTGGAGGCAGAGAACAGTGTATACAGCCATGCACACACGGCTGCCAAGGGAAGGTATGACCTGGTAGCAATAAAACCAGGGCTCTTCCTCAAAGCCTTCGTGCAGAATGAAAGAGAGCTAGGTATGAGCTGCTAGAGGGAACTAAAAATAGACAGTCTCTTCTCTGAGTAGATCAGGGATCCTGGGAAGAAGAGGACACATTCTTCATTGGCATGTAAGAGAGTAGGTTGGAGAACGGGAAGGAAGCACAGCTACTAACTAGAAGATAGCACTGGCATGAGAACAAGTAGACAAAAATAGGCTATGAAAAAATGTGGGCTGCAAATCAGAAACAAGTTTCCTTCTGTCAAAGTGAAGTTCTTGAATAACCTGCCAAGAAAATTCCCAATGACTTAAGATGGACTGTGATAAATTAACAAGAGGGACTTTATGACTCACTGTTTGTCATTGCTGGGAAATAGGATGATGACTAGGAGATCCCTTCTAGCCCCACATTCCTGCTGGTATGATAACAGAGGAATCTGTGTAGGGTGCAATAAATGCTGAATCACTGAGTGCTTTATCTAGCTGCCTGGCAGGACAAAGTCCCTCATACCCATCCTGTCTGCAAGAACTTCCAGGACAAAAAAAAACCGAACAAACCTTACGTAAATGGTTGTGCTCTGGCAGCACAAAGCATGCAGCTACGGATGCCTGAGTTAGAAGAAAACCAGCTCACCTTCAGGCACCTCTAGACAGGGGAAAGGTGGTGGTATGGATGTGAAAGCAAGGAACCCTACTGTAAACACTAAGAGGTACGCATTACGAGGTGAATGTGCTCCAGCAGCTTCAGTACACAATCTTCATGACAGAAAGAAACTCTTGGAACCATGTGGCAGTGTTCCATGCACTTGCTCAGCCAGGTGTGTGCAGGGATCGATCAGGTCCATACCTGACTGTGTCAGGTAGCAGAAAGTCCCTGCAGTTAACATCAACCACTGAGACATCCACAGTTCTCCTGCCATGCCAGGATCCACAATTCTTTCAACAGTATTTTTCCCCTGTCTCTATGGAGTTCCCCAAGCACTTTCTGCCTGAGCACAAGGCCAGCAATCAGGATTCAGCTTGCTCTGATGGGTTTGGTGCCTCACAGCTGGCTGCAAGTGCAGACCTCGGGTAACAGTAGCAGCTGGCAATGCAGCAGTGCAGAGCTGGAGGCAGAGGCCAAGAAGACAGCCCTGAAAAACCAGACAAGGGAAGAGATAGGCCTGGTTTCTTGGCTCAGGAGAGCAGTGCTGCTCAGGAGGAGAGCACTTCTCCACAGCCCTCATGGCTGCCACACACAAGGAAGACTCTTCTGGAGCTTCTTCCAGACCTATGGAGGTCATGGACAGACGTGGGCGCTCCCTCAACTTCCTCAAAACCTGCAGCACAGGCTACTTGGAGTCGTAGGGCCCCTGACTTCTGCTCCCCACCGTGCCACAAGAATGCCTCCACATGGATGTGGCACCATTGTGTCCAGGGATTGCATGGTCTGGTTACTCTAGGAAAAGGACACCAGAAGGTTCTCTCTCCTGCAGTACTTTCAAATACTCATTATTTCTCATAACTGCTCCCAGTCTCAAAGATCAGAGCAAGAGGTTCCCAGAGATCCCAGCTGCTAATGCCAACAGGAGGCAGTGGGGAAACTTCCACACCAATGGTGAGCACTCCCATGCCAGAGAGCCTGTCATAATCCCTCTCTGGCATAGCTAAGAAAGCTCTTTTCATCTTTTTTTCTCCATTTTTTAAAATATTTTTTTAACCAGGCAGCTGAATCATAGTCAAGATCAATTTATTTCCTAAGCAGTGGCAAGCTGAGGGGGTAACAGAGGCAGACTGAGCCATGGCAGGTGGTTGTGGCACAAGACCCTCAAGGCTTCCTTGCCTTCCTGCCTCTTGTCCAAGGCTCACCAAGCAGGCATGGAGAGAGATCTCATCCCAGCTCTGACGTGACCCTTCCCCTAAAGAGCCACCCAGCAAGGAAAGGGCTCAAAACTTAACACAAGATTGGAGGTGTGACCTCACCAGTGCTGAATAGAGGGGGGATGATCACTGCCCTGGTCCTGCTGGGCACACTATTCATGACACAAACAGTACTCTTGGCCTTCTTAGTAGGTGCATCCACAGGCTATGCAGTTTTCAGGTGGCTGCTGGTCACCGCACAGAAAAGCAACGACCTCAAATTCCAGCAGTGAGTTTCCAAACAAACCCTGGGTTCAAAGTCCTCTGGAGGGTTTTTCTGCATTCACTAGTGGATTTAAAGTTAATTTTTATATCAGCCGCTTCCAGGTTTGTTCATGGTTGATCTTTTCCTTTGACTGCGCTGCAGTATTTCCCAGCCCCAGAGCAAAGTGTTATTCTAAACGCATTTGGGGGTGGGGAGAGGTTTTGACCCATATTTAATAGGGTCCCTAGAGCGTGCTTGTCTCCCCGCCTTGTCCCGGCGTGGCGATGCCGTGGGATGTACTTGGTGCTTGCGGCACACCCGGCGTGGCAGCAGCAGCACCTGCTGCGAGCGCTGCAGAACTGCAGGCGGCTGCAGGCGACGGCGACAGAGATCCCGAGTCCCACTGCAGGGAGCCTCCCGGCTCCCGGGTTTGCCCTGCACACGCAGGGGACCCTCCCAGGCAGTGCATTTCTCCCACGCCAGAGCCGTAAGTGCTCAGACAAAACTGAAAGAGAACGGTTTCTATTAGCAAAAAAAAGTGACCAAAAGAAAAAAAAAAAAAAAAAAGATTACACTCTGTCTGGGGAGACAGCAGTGCTAACATGCTTTGTTCAAAACCAGGTCTGGGATTCCTCTGACACCTGCTTTTTTAAGCAAGCCTTCCTCCAGAAGGTTTATATTGCACTGGGCATCAGGTCTCAGCATCCTGAATGTCTGCAGAGGCAATGATAAGCTCAAATGCCATGATAAATATCCCAAAAAGGCACACACACTGGATTTACTGTTCTTGGTGTTTCTAAGATAAAAATTAAACAGAGCATATTAATTTAAACAAAACTTATTCCAGATTATATAATCCATACAAAGACAGACAGAAGGGCACAAGACCCAGAAATCAAGGTAAAAAAAGAAACCCCTTTCCAGATCCTCCATTGCAATGGCTAGCTTGTCTTTCCCTTCAGCTCTGACCTGAGTCTCACCTACAGTGATGCACCTGAAGAATACAAAATGCAAAGATACCTCAACAGACATCACCTTTGGACTCCATTTTCTCGTTCAGATGCCCATCAAAACCCAGAAGTTTGCTGTGCACCCCTCATTCCAAAGTCCTTGCTTTGCCTGGAAGCAGCACACCCCAGGCGAGTGGCAGCCTGCATCTGCTTCTGTCCATCTCCCATGCTCGGCTGGGGGTGATGCCAGTGGGATGCTCTGCTTGGGCAGCCTTAGGGGAAGGAGTCCTCTGTCAGTCCATATGGAGAGGTGTGCAAGAAGCCAGGGGTGCTTCTGAGGCAGGATGCTGCTCCCTGCCAGAGCGAGTCACGCAGGTCTCACAGGGAAAGCTCTCTGAGGAGATGAAGTTTGGGCTCTCACAGACCCCCAGTCCTGGTTTCTCCACTGCTGGCACCAGGATGGACAGAACTGCTGGCTTCCTGTGGGACACAGGCAGCTGCCCAGAGCAGCCAGGACAAGGCCACCGCCACCTCCCTGAGTGCTGCCAACCCCCTCTCAGCCAAACTCAGACTGCAATCACGGCTGACCAGCCTGGGGCTGACACTGCAAATCAGAACGGGGCAAATCCCCAAATTCCAGAACAAGGCACATTCCCCAGAGGGATGTGTGGCTTTAGCATTGCAGAAAACACGCAGTGTTTTGGGGGTGGGAGGGCGCTTGCCTTTGGGGCAGGGGTGCTCCAGTCACACAAAAGTGGGTTTCAGATCCTCTTTGAAATTCACCACAGGCTGGGGCCCACCGTGGTGCTCTGTCTGGTGATCCTCACAGTCACTGGGCTCTGTGTCCGTGTCCGTGCTGCTGCTGTCCAGGGAGCCACGTGGGTTCTGGAAGCAAACCTCGCAGCAGGGTCGGTGGCAGCCATGAAACATCTCCTCAGAGCTGCTGCTGCTGCTGGAGTCAGAGTCTGGGTAATAGTACAGCGAGCGCAGGGAGGGCTCAGCGGGGCCCCTCGGCGTGCCCTGCCGCCGCCGCCGCTCCTGCGGGATGCACGGTGAAGCACCCTGGGACTCGGGCCATCCCAGCCACCCCTCTGGCTGGAGGCTGGCCTCCCTCGGGATGGCTGCAGGGGATGGTACTGGGCAGTGAAGGAGCCCTCTGCCAGCCACGTCCCCTCCCATTCCCAGGGAGTTTTGTGCTGACTCCCCACGGCCCCAGCTGCCCACCTCCTTCACCCTGCAGCTGGCACGAGGGGATACGTGTCCAGGGAAGCACGTGGAGGCAGGGGGCAAGGGGATCCTCCGTTGATGCCTTGCCAGGTAGGGGCTGAGGGGTGTGTGGATGCCTGGGTAGCCCTCCTGGCCCACCCGTGTTTCTCCCTGCTCGCCTGAGGTGCCCCGGTTGCCAAGTGGGGGTCCTGCAGATAAGGCTGGGCTGTAGTTTTTGCCATCCAGGCTTAACTCTTGCAAGATTTCCCACAGCTTCTCGCTGTTTACATAGCTGACTTTGGGGGACGACTCCCAGGCTACACCAGCTGAGTTGTCCTGGCCTGGCAGCTGCTCTGGAGGCTGCCCCTGCACTGCAGGTGTGCCACACTCCTGGACATCTTTCAGGCCACGTTCAATGCTGTCCCCTGCATTAAAAAGCAGCACCTGAGTGCAAACAGGCTCCTGGTTTGCATGTTTCTGGAGGGCCTGAGCATTGCTGCCAGGAGGTGATGTACCCAACAAACAGGGGGGCTGCCACCCATCCCTCTCTGGATCTGGGGGGCAGCAGTCTCCTGGTGCATCCCCAGGCTGCCCTGAGCTCCAGGTGCAGGGAGCTGCTGGCAGCACACGGGGGTCGCAGCCGCTCTCCGCAGACATCAGCCTCATCAGCTTCTCCTTGGCGCTGCTCACTTGCTCCTGCAGGCTTTCGATCACGGCGTTTTTCTGTGTCAAACAAATAAGCCTGTCAAGTGTGGGGCGGGCAAAGAGGAGGAAAATGCTGCCAGTTTGGAAGCAGGCACTGCCAGAAAACAAATCACCCCTCTCTGCATGGCAAGAGCCACAGCAGCAGCATGTGTGACCTCAGCCTCCCCTGCAGCCCCCCAGACGTGTGTGGGAAGGGGCTCACTGGGCAGGCAGCTCTTCAGGCTGGGGTGTTCCTGCCCGTGCAGTGCAGGTGACAGAGCAGGAGGCTGGGGGCTTTTCTGAGACAGAGCATCTCCCCTCTAAATTAACCATGTTTGACAAGGCTGTGGGAACCAGGCTCTCTTGCACTCCGTCCCTACAGAATTTTTTTAAGCCCTCCAAATTATGCCTAAATTGTGGTGCTTTGAGTGTGACAAAACAAAGCAGCTCTTCCCCTCAGGAAGGAAGAGGCTGGTGAGGGATCACCAGTGTGGACAGGGGTGTAAAAAAGGGCTTCCCACCCTGCAAAGCCTTCAGCCCACAAAAGGGAAGGGGATAAGCTGGAGGAGGGGGGCCAGCAGAGCCCCGTACCTCGGTGAGCAGCCGCTTCATAGAGTTTTTCTCCCCTATGAGCTGGTAGAGCTGCTCCTCGCTGTACACTGAGCGGCAGCTCCTGCTCGGGCTGGTGAAATATTTTGCCATGTGGCTCATCGTCTGGCTTTCTTCTTCAAAGGCTTTCCACTGCTTGAGCTGGGGAGTAGAAGAGGGTGTTATCCACAGAGCCCCAGCTGACACAGCGGGAGGCAGGCACAGCTCAAGCGCGAAGGAGACAAAGGGATGGAGAGGGGGAGACAAAGGCAGGGTGTGACGGGGGAGCAGAGACAGCCAGCCAGAGATGGCTGGGCGAGGGGCTGCAGTGTCACTTGGAGCCTCCCACCCATCTGAGCCCTACCCTGTTCCTGGCTCCAGCTTTTAATGCAGGAGAGGGTCAGTGCCTGGCTGCACTGAGACTGCTGAGCACGCTGTAAAAGCCCCCTCCCTCTTCTCCCCACTCCCTGACTCCATGACAAAGACAGTGTCATGCATGCCCCCTTATCCCTGAATCACTGGTGACAAGCTGAAAACCAGCAATGTTTAGTATCTATTTTCTCATCTGGTGTCTGCCTGGAAGCCTTGTGCAGCCCAGCTCCATCTGTTTATCGATCTCAGATGAGCTATAGAAAAGCAAACCCATTAGGAAAAACAAGGTAATGAATTAAAAGATCCAAGTTAAATAAAATGTTCAAGGGCCCCAGGCTCCCAAAGAAAAGTGGTACAGGCAGAGCGAAAGTACAGCTCATCAGCTTCTGTACCCTCAGTCCAAAAGACCAGGTGCTCCAGCAGGCCTGGAGCTCACCAGAGGAGGTTTGGATCCTTGCTCCCAAAGGCTGCTCATCTAAGGGCTTGGGGCTCTGCAGTTACACTGCCTCAACTGAGGCAGGAGGGGACCTCTGGAAATCATCCCAAGTGCCCTGCTGAAGCAATGTCAGAGGGAGCAGCCTGCTCACGACTGTGTCCAACTGGGCCTTGAGTATCTCCCAAGGATGGAGACTTCACAACCTCTCTGGGCATTCTGCTCCAGTGCTTTACAACTTTTACAGAAAAAACTCCAGCCTTTTCCTCATGTTTAAATAGAATTTCCTGTGTTTCAGTTTGTGTCCATTGTCCCCTGTCCTGTCAGTGGATACTACTGAGAAGAGCCTTGCTCCCCCTTCCCTATTCCACCCCCATCGATATTTATATACATTGCTGAGATCCCCTGAGCCCTCCCTTGCACAGATGTGCTTTCCTCAGCTTCACCTCTTCCTCCCTTTCTCACCTCATGTCCTTGAGCCCAAACATCCCTCCAAACATTCAACTAAGTAAATAACTGTTTCCTTTCCCTCTAACAATGGGAGCATTATTCCCACTAATGTGGTGGCCAGGCACACCAGGCTGCTCCTGGAGGACACAGGAAGCAGAAGTGCCTCACCTCACCACAAAAGGCTTCCTTTAAACACCTCCTCCTCCTCCTCCTCCTCCTCCTCCCCCTCACTTGTGGCAAAGCCCAGCTTCCTTCTCCAAAAGTGCAGAGGAGGACAGCCTCCCCTGGGGACCACCAGCAGCAAAGAAGTCTCTCAGAGTGGCTGGGCCATCTGGATGGTCTGTGCCCGGCTCCATCCCTGCCAGCGGCAGAAGCTCCTGGTGCAAGTGGGCATGTGAGGTATGAGGGAAGGACAACTGCACAAAGGACACATCCCACCATCCACATGGAGCAGGAGGAGGAGGCCAGCAGCTGCCTCGCCTCATGTGTGCTGCCTGTGTGGCTGTCACCTGTGGCATGTCCCCGCAGGAGTGTTTCTGAGCAGCAGTGCTGCACTCCTTGGAGACTTTCCAGGACATAAAGGGGACAAGGAACAAGAAAGCTGGAGACAGACATTTTACAAGGACACAGTGATAGGACAAAGGAGAATGCCTTTAAACTGAAAAGAGGGTAGGTTTAGATTAGATATAAGGAAGAAATTCTTCACTATGATAGTGGTGAGACCCTGGATCAGGCTTGCCCAGGGAGTTGTGGATAGCCCAATCCCTGGAAACGTTTAAGGTCAGGCTGAAGGGCACTTCAAGCAGCCTGGTGTAGTGAAAGCTTCCCTGCCCACAGCAGGGGTGTTGGAACTAGATGAACTTTAGGTCCAAAACAATACAAACAGTTCTGTGATTCTTTGAGACTCAGGGAACTTGCTTGTGGAAGCAGAACCACCAGGGTGGGGTGGGGTGGGGCTTGGAGAATGAGCTGTGCAGGTGAGTCCAAACATTTGGGGGAAAAAAGCAGGAAAGTGAGTGCGTTGATGCCCACGGCTGCTGTTGTTAAACTCCGAAAATGTGCCCATTTCCAGCCAAGTGACAGGACAGAGGTGGCAGCATACCTGTGGGACAAAGATGAAGCAGTTGATTGTGGTTGTACACACAAAGATGCCTCCAGAGGTAAAACCAAACAGCAAATTGTGCCAAGTACGGAAGAAGCGGTGAACTAAGCAGATGGTACCAGCAGCCAGGAAAACGAGGTTGACCCCGACGATGAGTGTCAAGGACTGGTTCACTGGTGAGGAGCTGACATTGTCGGTCAGACCGGCCAAGTAGGTCCCATATAGCAGGAGGATACTCTGGAAACAGAAAAAAGAGGTTTCCAGAGTGTGGAAAATTACAGCCTGATGGTGTCAACCCCCATGTATGTCGCACCAAGCCCGGTGAGCTCAGATCACACTCAGCGCAATCCTAATTAATGCTCTTTGATCTATAATGCAGACCTGGAGCGTGCGGTGGTGACGCTGCGGCAAACGCCCAGCACGCTGCTGCAGGCCAGAGTGGGGCTGGGGACACAGGGCAGCAGTGAGGGCACTGGTGGGCACGGGGGGTCCCAACCAAAGGGCATGAAGAGCCAGGGGTCAGAAGTCAGCAGGTGCTGCCACAGAGCAGGGGGTGACTGGCAAAAATTGTGAAAACCACCCCTTGGGCAGCCTGGAGCAGGAGAAGCAAAGGCAGACAGACAGGAAGCAGGGGTCCCTGCAGGATGCAGCAGTGGGTGCCATCAAGGAGCAACAGCATACTTCTCAAGGAGCAGGAAAGATATCCAGAAGGAATTCAAAGAAGAAGGCAAGGAGACATGGAGGTTTAGACTGGAGGGAAGAGGATGTACTTGGTGCCTCTTTAAATAGCAATAATGCAGGAAACTACCAGGTGCAATTCTTTTCCCTTCCCTTAGCTGTTTCCTGACTCCAGCAGCAGGGAAGGGCACTACAGAAGTGCTCTGTACACAGAGGCTCTCCCTCCCCATGCGTAGAGCAGCTGTTTCAGAGCAGGCTGTCTCACCACCCTCCTCCTCAAGGGTCTCATGCATGCATTTTGCCAGTGTGCTCAGGATAAAACTACCCAGCAGGATAAGCCTCTCCTTCCCTAGGTGACTCTAGCAGGAAACACCAAGTAGTTTTTGCCTGCTTTCATAGAACTGAGCATGGTCTGCCTTCAGGATCATTTGGAAATACCATCTAACAAAGTCCCAGCTCCTGCAAGGACATGGAATACAGGGAGTGTGACCTACATTATTCCTGTGCTACCCAGTAAGTGTCAGCCTTTTACTAAGCGTCATTGTTATTTGAACATCAAGAAGTGCTTTGCGACATGAGATGCAGATGTTTTTTAGACCCTGCTGAACCCCTCTGTGCTGTGGCTGGTTGATGACTCTGATGGCCACTGCCAGGGTTAAGGTCTGGAGGGACACAAGCAAGGGAGGTTCATGTCCAGATCTCTGGTGAGACTCCCAACTTCAAAGCAGCATGAAGTCTCAGGGTGGGGTTGTAAGAGTGAAACCTGCCTTGCTGGGAACTGGGTTGGTGCCTGACCCTGCTTTGTAGAACCTGCACTGGACCATAACCGTGTCCACCATGGGGCACCTCCAAACAGCCCAAAGGCAAGGCAACCCCTAATCCCTGAGCAGGAAAAAACCAGCATCAAAGTCCCATTTAAATTCATACAGTCTATCTGGGACACAGACAACAGCGCTGCCGTCTCCTAAACTAGGACTCTCAGTGGCCTGTTTGTTTGTTTGTTTTAAACTTGAGCAGAGGACCTTGCTCCTAATTCCAGGCATGTCCTTGGCAAGTCATTTCTGTTCATTGCTCTGTGCCAGTAAAACCAGGATAATACACTGAGTGTCTTCCCAAAGGGCTGAGCATATTAATGCTGTGGATGCTAAGAAGTGCTATGTATGCAGAGATAAAGCCTACACTCATGTAAGGGTAAATCCAGACCAACTCCAGAGAAATCACCAAGGAAGTACTCCATGACCCCCAGTAAGCAGGAAGGAACAGGGCCAGATTCAGCACAACATTAAAAAGATTACCTGGAACTGATTATGGGGATGTTCTTTTTCCAAAAGGATTTTGTAAGGGCTGTAGGCAGAGGCATTACCTCTCTAAACCCTAACACAAACTGCAGACAAAATCAGAGGTAGAGACACAGCACTGAAAGCCCAGGTAATGCCTACATTCCCTAACACCAGAGGACTTTTAAGGATTTTGAAATTAAGTGTAGAAGGACTTGGCTGTGTTGTAAGGTCCCTTTCTGCTCTTTTTCCTATGATTCTGGGTAGATGGTCAGTGAGTATTACACTACAGTGAATCACAAAGAAAGTGCCGGTGCTGCACGCAGAGATTAAGCCATTTCCAAAAAAAGGCTGTGATCTCACAAGCTTCATCAACATCAGCTTTCTGAAATGTGTCCAGCCTCTGCCATACCAGAGACACATGAGACCACAGATAATTACAGTGATAATTATACCAACATAGTTACATCAGTATAACTAACACTTCTGGAAGAAGACTGGACACGTGCAGAGATTCACCAGTGAAAGTGCACCTCAGAGGTATAATTAACCCGATAAGCATCCTGCAAAGGTGGGGACCAAGCACTTGTCATCAGCACCTCCTTGGTTTGAAGTCACAGGACACAGGGATTGAGCCACCTTGGCAGTGGCCATTCACTGCAGTCTTTAGGGAAGGAGAGTGACATAAAGAACAGCAAGATGTGAGTTCCAAGAAGTGAGATGAAGCTCAGGGAGTTGCCCGGGAGAGATCTAGAGAGACTGTAAGTGCACAGTGTACATAAAGGAGATGGTGAAGCAAGGAGACAGCAGCTAGGAGGACTTTCACCCTTCCCAAGATGGGAAGGGCTGGAAATAGGAAGGCTTATGAGGTGAACAGGAGTAGCTGGGATCTGCAATGGGCATGTAGCTTGGGAGGGCAGCAAAATGACAAATGCTGCCAAACAGTTTAGACTGAAAGACAGGGAGGAGGTGAGATACAATGCAAGAAGCAGTCAAGAGGTTACATACCTTAAACCCTAAAATGAGAACGAGCCAAAGATCGGAATAGAGCGATGCACAGGACTGCACCCGGCTCACGGAACACGTCATGCCTTTCTCTGTTGCCTACAAGGCAAGGCAAAGGCAGAAATGAAGGCTGCAGCCTGGCACAGACCAATGGGAAGAAGCATCTAAGCTGGTCTCCTCTGTAAATTTCTGAAAGGAGAGGCCAGGCTGGTGCTACCAGGGGCAGAGTACTAAAGCAAGAAGATGTTGGCCTTCTGCTGCCTACAGGGCTGGTTAAACATTTCTCTAAAGCAGATGCCATGGAGCCCTCCTGTGTCATGCAGGTGATCTGCACAGACCTGGAAATTTTGCAGTGGACTCTCGCCTCTGTAATAGACCAGACATAAACCAAATCTAGAGTGCCCAGAAAGGGCACTGCCTCGTTTTCTGTCTCTATTTTCTTTCTGTTGTTTCTCAAAGACCACCTCCAAATGCCTGGCCACCCACTAACTCTGTCCACAGAGCTCAGATAGGACACAGCAAAACCCCACAGTGCCCCTCCTCATCCTTTTACCCGCAGTGAGACGCTGAGGCTTCGGAAGCACTGGACTGGGTCAGAGAACACCCAGGTCAAGAGCAAGACAGTGTCTGCCAGCACCAACGCTGCCACCATTGCCAGCAACTGCAGGTCTTTGATAATCTGCAAACATGCAAGAAGTAAAAGTTACTATGGGGAAGGAATGGACACCAATCACCTCCATCCCCCTTGGGTCCCTTTCTCTTGTTTCTTTCAAGTGACACATCTATCCTACTACTTCGCCCAGAGAGGTGTCCAGCACCTACATTTGAGTTGGCCACAAGATCTCTGTCTTCAATTCCCAAATTCTTGGAGACCTAATCAGGCTTGAGACCAGGTATAAACCCTGCCTGATGGTGTGGACAGCAGGTACATGCTATGACAGAAAACAGTCCTTCCAAAGCAAGACTATCATTCCTTATGACCATATCACCAGCAGAGACAAAAAGGGCAGAGAAGAACACCTGGTAGGAGCATTATTTTGCAAGTTTAACACAGATCCCAGTGTGAAACAGGAGTCCTTGCTGATACCCAGTTCCCCTGCAAACCCTCTTATCCCATCTTTCATCTGGGACCTAATTTTTTCACTGCTGCAAAGTAACCACTGAAACTTGTAAGTGCACTTTTTTGTGCACAAATTTTCCAATTCCCTCCCAGTTTCTGAATCCCCATCCTTAAGTGCTGCAGAGGAGAGCCCAGCACTCTCTTCCTGCCTTCAAGAGCAGAACACATCCATCTGGAGATGGCCCTAGATCAGATGCTTTTGAGAACACCTGGTTTATTTTCATCCCACAAAAACAGCTAATTGTTTTTGTGGGATGAAAATAGACCTGAACACAAACATTGGTGTGTAGCGTAATGAAGGGATGTGGCCAATATAAAGTGAGAACATTGCTTGGTGATGGGGCTGGGACTCCACTGGGGAAGAGGCAGCCTGGCAGGGCACACACTTGCCGGTAGAGCGGAAAAGCTCCTGCCTCATTGTGCAGGAATAAATGAAGGGCCCACACCCAGCCAGGTGTGAAACCAGACCTGTGATTGTGGCATCTATCCCTGTCATGTGCCAGTTTCATTTGCTATCCCACACTGGTTTGGGACTTGCTGGTGTTTGCCCTCCATGGGAAGTCTGTCCTCCCCCGTTCCCGCCTCAGGAGCTGGGTACTCACCACCCGCTTGTCGGGCACCCGCTGGGTGAACACCTTGTAGAGCCGCCAGCTCTTCCCCAGGACAGGACCGAACACCAGGGAGGTCCCCACGCACAGCAGGCACAGCCTCACCTGCCAGAGGCCAGAGCGAGGGGGCTGAAAGGGGCTCACAGGGACACCACACAGCCTCCCAGCCTGGGGTGCAGTGAGGATGGCTGGGGACATGTCTGCCCTCCTCTGACTTCTGGAGGGTGATACCAGATACTAGAAAGCTGACTACAAGGTGAAATAAATTCAAAGGCAAGTACTCCTCTGTAGGCATGCCTGCTGCCTACCTTTTTCTACCTACCTAGAGACTCTCACTGGAAGGGCGGGCAGGGAGAGACAGGCAGCTTGTGAGCAGCAGGGACACAGGAAGTCACAGCACCCATAAATCACTTGCTGGCACCTCCGTTAATTATCCTCAGCCCAGTGGCTGAGCAGGATGCAGGGATGCAGGGTGTGCACCGTCCCACTCTCCCACACAGGTGCATGCCCAGTCCTCAGTAGTTGGCAGGGTAGTTGTCTCAGGCCAGGACATGAGGGTTCATCACACAAGTGAGCCTTTTGATGAAAATCTGCTCTGCAGCCAAAAATCTCACCCACAGCCTCACAGCACCTGTGCTGTGTCAGGCAGTGGTGGCTGTGTGGAGGATCCCATCTCCCTTTGTGCTCCCCTCTGTCTGCTGCACTTCTACCAGCCCAGCAGCTTGCCTGCCTGCAGACCTGTCCCCTGGGGACCTGCCTCGAATCCCTCCTCGGTGCAGATGTGGTTTGCAAAACAGCAAAGGCCATTCAGACAGAAAGTGTCTGGCTGCCTTTTGCATGTGTGAAAGCCACAGCCCAGCTGAGCAACGTGGTGGCGACAGGCTGTGGCTGGGACAGAGCTTGTACAGGCGACAGCTGGCTGGGAGAGAGCACGTACAAACAGGCCTGTACATGCGTCAAGGTGCCCATCCCAGCAAAACCCCCGCTCACCTGAATTAGCTTTTCCATTGAGTCTCCAGATGGCAGGCTTTGCTCCTGAATCCCAAAGAGGTAAGCACTTGTGTAAGTCAAGCCACTGCCCAGCAGGGTCACAATGTTGAGATTGGGGCTGGACATCTTCACAATCCTCCAGGAAACAAAGCAGGGGATTTGGTGACAGTTACTGAGCATCATGACCTGGCAGCACAGGGGTGAGGTCCCCTTATAGGGATGATGACGGTCACAAGGAATGCTGACACATTGTCCACCCCCAGCCTGTGCTGTTCACCACTGTTCCAAAAGCTCAGCCATTACTCCATGGTCCCATCCTCTTCCCTTTCTTGCTGAAGTGCTTCACAATCCTTCAAGCATTCAATTAGCCCTATGCCAAGACTTCTGCTGCAGAGGGTCAGAGGTGGAAAACCACCCAGCACAGCCCAGGGTGACAGTCCCCAGCAGTAAGTTTTAGGTGCAAGAGCTACATGTGCCTCCAGGAACAGGCCCTTCCCACTGCTCCTTCCTCTGAGGAGATATCTCCACACTCAGCACAGGAAGCTGCCAGCAATGTTCAGGTTACAGTCTCCCCTCTGTAATTTCACCTCATCACTCATAATCCTGTAACTGTATTCAGGGAGGGGAGAATCAACCCACTGATCTCTTATGACCTGTCACCCTTCCTCAGCAAGCCTATTGAGTGAAAGCTGTACCTCCTGCCACCCTTCCCAATAGCTCTGCCCCTTCGACCTGCTGCCAAGTCATTACTTTTCTCTCCCCTTGAGTTCCTTCCTGGCTTGCTGTCTTGAAGTCACAAAGCCTGGGGTTCAACTTGTCTCTCTCCCTCCCTGCCTTCCTTACCATGTCTCAGCCCTTGGAGAAAGATATTCAGCAGCTCATGCTCTCAGCCGCAGCTGAGAAAGGTCTCCTCCACGCTCCCAGGTTCAGGAGGCAGACCAGTATTTATTTTCCGCAGAGCAAATAAATAATGCACATTCATTACAGCACGTTCCGAGAACATAAATTCAAGTGGCCACTGAACTCAACACCACTCAGTAAATGAAGTGCTTCAGACTGGGATGCAGTTGGGATGCAGGTCATGCAGCTGCTGCAGCGCAGCAGGCACGGGGCTCTCCACACAAGCCCTTATGGGCAGGACCCTCCCGACTGCACCGTGGTTGTCAGCAGCATTAAATTAAATTAAAGCATAGAATCATTAATGCTGGAAAAGACCTCCAAGATCATCAAGTGCAGCCTTTGACCAAACACCACCAGGAGAACTAAACCACAGCACTAATGGCCACATCCAGTTTTGAACACTTCCAGAGATGGTTATTCCACCACTTCCCTGGGCAGCCTGTTTCAATGCTTGACAACCTTTTTGGAGAAAAAATTATTGCTGGTGCCCAACCTGAACCTCCCCTGATGCACTTCCTGAGGCCATTTCCTTTTATCCTGTCTACAGCTCCCTGCCTTGGGGAATAAAGGAGCAGTCCAAACAGGACTGTCTCCACCAGTGATCAAAACTCTGTGTGATGGAAGAAGCTGCCACATCCCTGGCATTACCCTTGCTTTCCCTGTGCTGCTCCTTCAGGCTTACACCCTCCTGACCCTTAGCTGGTCATCAGCTCAGAGCTTGGTCCTGAAAGAGCCTAACTCCCCTACTCCAGCTCAGGGGAAATCTCCCAGGAGAAGAGGGATGCCCTTACCTGTTTTTCCTGAAGCGAATAGTGAAGATGAAAAAGAAGAGTGCTAGCAGGACTCCTCCAGTCAGGAATGTCCACACAACTCCCAGGAGACCAGCAGAGAAGGATGGGGAGCTCTTCATACTGCGGTCAAACGATGTCTGCAGGAAACAAAAGGGATAAGGAAGAAGAGGATATTGCTGGGGCTCTTAGCAATGAAGGTCCCTACTCCAGCATGATCCCTCCCCACAGTTATCCTGCTCAGCCAGGAACCACAGTTCCCAGTAAGAATACGCTCTGGCACCAGACCAAGTCCTGCAGGTAGGGCCACTGAGATGTGTGTGGGCAGGACATGTGCTCTGTCACTTGCTGAATGTTCAGGAGGACACAGCAGTCCGAGAGCCCTCTTTTTATGGCCAACTAGCCAAATCCATAATGAAGCTGTACAAGTGATTCATAAATCTCAGGCAGCCCTGCCTCTGAGACACGGGAACATGGACACTGGTCCCTCACTGTCCTCTGGAAAGAAATCTTCGGAGAAAGGCCCTGTGGTGCCCCAGTCAGTGTCATGCTTCTTTAGATGCTTCTTGGCTCCCTTACCCCTCTCTGCAGCAGACAACTGCTCAGCTGGTGGACGTGACTGGGAGCCAGCTGCAGAGCTGCCAGTCAGTGCAGGAGCACAGCAAAGGGAGTGTGACAGCGTTTCAGAGGTGGTGACACACTGAGCTGGAATCCACCCGTCTCCCAGCCGGATGGAAACTAACTTGGTCCCAGGCAGGCATCAGCTGAGAACTGGCTTTTGAGGGACACTCCCAAAGCGGGTATGATGGAGGCACCTCTCTCCTTACACACAAACCACCTTATAGGTTTAAATCTCCATTTAAAATAATCTCTGCTATCTCCTTATTAACATAAAACAGATAAAATGATCCCACGTGAAACAAGAAACCCACTTCCGCTGCTGATCTAAAACGCTCCGGCATTTTTAACAGGGTGTGCATGTGTGGGTTACCAACTTTTTTTCCTTTCAAAAAAGCATCACTTTAATAAAAGTGCTGGCACATCCCCTTTAATGGGGGTGGGAGAAGAATGGGGGTTGAGCTGGGATCACACACCTCCTCACTAACTTCTCTGGTGCTGAGTCCTTTCTCAGGTATTCCTGCATCCAATTTCTTTTGCAGAAGACTACTTTTCCTGACAGTTGACACTGCCCCAAACTCCCAATTTTTACTTCAAGGTCTGAGCTGTTTCTGCTTCCAACTTTGCTAGAAATAAATCTTCAGGCAGAAGAAAGGCATTTGTTTAGAGCCAATGCCTCATTCCCCTCTTCCCCAGCCAGGCTTCATCTCCTCTGGGCAAGCAAGAACAACGCACAGCTTGCAGAATTAAAGCCACCACATAATTCTTGACACACAAACGTGTCACTGCCACACGAGCACAGCTGATCTTCAGGCTCCTGGCAGCTCACATGCTGGTGCCCCGCTGGTCACAGGGCAACTGGGAAAGGCAAACCCCTGCCTGGGAGAGACATCCAGCTGAGAGCTGCTGCTGCTGCTGGGATACAGCTGCGTGCACTTCTCAGCCTCGCTTTGCAGCAGTGTGGAGGGATCCCTGGGGGGATCCTCATCTCCCTCCTGAAAACTGCTTCCTACCTCCTTTTCCCTCTTGCTATTCCCTGGGGAGTCTTTTGCCTCTCTGGGAAATGAAGACCACACCAGATGATGAAGATGGTCAGCTAGGTCAGTCCCCCACTTACACCAGGACTCTCTGTGTAAAAACCCCATCATTCAGCACAGATCAGGCCCATCGTCCCCCCTGCCTGGAGCTGACAGGGCTGGTACAAGGCTGTAATGCCATTCTGTTTCTGTGTCCTGCCTGCGTGAGCCCAAGGGTAACACCTGGCTTTTGCCACTGAGGTGAGCAGGGCAAACTCAGCATTCTGGGGCTTCAGCACTTCACTCTCAGATGCACCCACCAACAAAATCACCTCTGGATGCTGTCAGAAGTATTACTGCACCCTATTCCCAGCAATCACCCGGGATCAGAAACACCCCTATGATCTCCACTTTTTCTCTCCCACACACCCTCCCACCTGACTGCTGTTTCCCTGGATGTTGATGCTACTTGAAGTTGATGGAGCGCTTTGCTGGCTGCTGAGTGGAGTAAATCCTGGTCCTGGCAGGGGGAATATTAATTGTAAGCCGGCTGCCGGAGCCAGAGGAGCCAAGCAGCTTACAGTCTTTTAATTAAAGGCCCATGGTCGTGCAGGACGTGATGGAGAGCCGAGTGGGCCAAGCCTTGGCGCTCCATCCTGCAGCCCCACGTGGTGCCAGCTGCAACTGAGCGCATCCCAGTGTCATTTCTACCGCCTTGCTGGTGGAGGGGGGAAGGTACCATTTATTACAGAGGATGACTTTTAATTAAACCCTACTCTACTCATATTTGAAAAGCACTTTGAAGTTATAGAGGACAGGAAAGGTCAAGGGGAGATGGGGCCATTGCAGGCCAATCCTGAGCAGCTGGCTGACACATGGGAGGGCTGCTTGACATGACTTGGCTGTTGTGGATGCTTTCCCCCGTTCTGGATAACTGCTGAGTGTCACCTAGACTGGCTGTGTCTTGTCTATCAATCAGGTGACAGTGTGCTGCCTTCAGCTGGACTGGAATTGCTTGGCAGCTGCAACCCCCTCTTCATCCCTCCCCCAAATCTATTTCTGCAGAGCAAACCTCATGCCCCAGAGCACTCCCCTGCACCCACACATCCCACTGCATCCATACATACCACTGTCACAGTGCACAGCTCCTGCAGGGCCCGCTGCTGCTGCTCCTGGCTGCCAAAACTGGAGCTGCCATCGCAGAGCTCAGAGCAGTTGAATCCCGGCTCCATAGCACATCCTCAGTCGTCATCCAGCTGTACCTTTGCCCTGCTGGAAGGATGAGCATTGGCTTTCTTCAGAGAGAAGAAACTTTTGGCACACACCACACCCCCCTGTCAGCAGGGAAGGGTCTGTGGACAGCCTGGAGCTGAGCTTACCCAAACTGATGTGATGCACATCCAGAGCCAGGAGAGGGAGTGCCCCCTGCCAGTGTCCCTGGGGTGTCCTCTGCAGCAAGGAGAGTCAGCTCGGGACCTGAGCTCCCACAGAGCACGGTGGCATCCCCAGCACTGCTACACCACCCTGCAAAACAACACCTGTGGATGGTCACAGTGGCTCCCAGCCCCTATATCCCAGCTGGGAGCTGAAATGAGGTGCTGTGCTGGTCCAAGAAGGAGCATGGCACCCTGGCACTCTGAACCCGCTGCATCATTCCTTTGCCAATGCATTTCCCTTCACTGGAGCAATTTCAGGGTCATTTTGCAAGTACCCTCCTTGCGCTGGCAGTGACTGCTGGTTTCATGAAACATCCCTTTCTTCCAGCAGAGAACCAGCGAGTGAAAACAACAACAAACAGCAACAAGTGTTGCCATCGCTTACCAAGACCTACACCCAGGCCTGGGTAAGCAGAGGGGAAGGTGCTTGAACGCAGAGTTTTGGCTGACTCGGCCCGAGATGGAGCCTGGCTACCTGAAGAGCTGGCTGTTTATTAAGGAGATGTAGAAGCCTGACAGGTATTGTCCCTGCCTGCTCCTGCTCCCTTTGCACTACCTTTGCCTCTGCTTCCCCTTTCATTTCTCTTTTTGGTGTGGATTTTAATAGGCCTCATTACCATTTTAGACATGAGGTCATACTTATCCTCAAGCATCCTTACTCAATTACCATTGTCACCAGGTTTAATTAGCTTCCAGTGCACGACCATAAGCAAGTCTTCCGTCGTTAGCAGCTGGGGAGGAGGCGCAACAGCTTGCTCCCTATTTGCTCCTAACAACAGGTGGGAGGAAAAAATTATCCCTATCGTACTCCTCGGTGCTGCTCCCTGGCTGAGCATCCCCTGACCTAGCCAGTGCTCCAACCTTCCCTGTCGCTGCTCCTGACACTTTGATGCCCTCTCCTTCCAAGTCCTTTCTTTGGAAGAACTCCTGTCATTATGTGAGCAAAGAAAGAGTAAATTAAAAAGAAGCATGGTCACCAGGACCTGGTCTGAAACTTGATGCTCGTCACAGGGCATAATCGGGATTCAAATGCCAGAAAAGCTACAGGTGGTGTTCTCAGCTCGAGTGTAAACTGATTTTTCAGCTTTAGAGTAGTTGCTTACAAGTCCCAGCCCAAGCACATCAAGCTAAGTGGGCTACTTGTCCAAAATTAGCAGACCCACCTCTGAAGCAATAACCCCAGCTCTCCTGCTGGCAGAAGCCATCAGGTACTGCAGGTCTGGGTCCTGTCCTGCCCCTGCCAGAACTTCCCCCAGCACGAGATCAGCTCGCTGTGTCCTACAAACACAGGACTACACATCAGCCAGACTGAAGATTTTACACACATGGTGTGTAAAGACGTGTTTCTCAAGAGTGCTGAAGCCACCCAGCTCCATCAAGCCTCCTTCTCTCTAGCTTGTAGCAAACTGTGGCAGTGTTTCCCCTCTGCAGCAGGCTCATCCTCTGGGAATTTTCATGCCCTCCATAGCTCAGGCTGAGTGACTGCACAAGAGCCCTGGCTCCAGAAGATATCCAGCTGCTGCAGTGAATGCCAGGATTGCTACCATGCTGGAAGTGCAGTGGAGAGGAAGAGATAGGCTCCAGCTGAACAATTCAGAGACCAATGGACAGTGTGGAGAGACTGGGTGGGGATGGGGGTAGGAGACGGGCACTGAACCTCTGATGCTGAGAAGACCTGAAGGTGAGCACTGCCCAGCCTCCAAGGGGCTCAGCTCCTCCCCATGCCCCCGGTGGGTTTAAAGACAAAAACCCCTATAACTCCTTGTAACCTTCTGCCATGTCAGAGGGGGAGCACACCTGGCCGGTGGACCACTACCAAGGCTGGCATGAGGCCAGCAGGCACAGCCTTCCTGTGGCTGTCAAATGGAGGTGTTACCACAGGGAGCACCAGCTGAGCCCTCATCCACCCAGGAGGCCATCCCCTTGGAGGAGGGCAGAAGCTCCTTGGGGTCTCCCCAGCCCCCAGCCCTGCATCCTGCAAACGGCTCCCACACAAAATTGTTAACAAGCTGAGGCTAATTAGCGTTCATTAGTATGCAACAAAGCTAGCACCAGTGCAGTCATTGCTGAAAGGCAACAGGCATTTCCAGCCCAGCTCCTGCCTCTTGTGAGAGCTGGCAGGAACGCTTCTCCGTAGCCTGGAGAGGATCCAAGGGGGACCAGCACTTTGCAGGGTCACTGACCTTCAGGGTGAGGCTGGGCAATGATTGTCAGGACAGACAACAACACAGGTAAAACCCTACATCCTTAAAATGAAAGGGTCTGTTGAGAACAGAGATTTGTGGGATTTGGTTTTTTGGGGGTGTTTTTAAGACTGAAAATGCCAACCAATTCTGACAGAGCACTTCCAGAGCAGAATCTCAGAATGGCTTGGGTTGGAAAGGACCCGAGAGCTCTGCTTGCCTTGCTCTGCCCGTGCTGCCCTCGGTGTCTGTGGCCTTGCACCTGCCAGCTGTCTGGGACATGGTGGACAGTATCTGGCCACAGAGGAGCACTGGCTTGCATGCAGACATGATCCAAAAAGCCAAAAGTCAATAGGAAACAAGTGACTGGACCACATGGAAAATATTAGCATCATCATCTTCTCAGATAAAAGGGAAGCACTGACTGCTGGAAACAATATTTGGATAAAAGCAATTTGTGGTCACCTCAATAGGTGATCTCCAGGCTTGGAAAACCTGTTTCCTTAGATCTGTCGAGACCCAGGAATACTCAACATAAAATCATTTAGGTTGGAAAAGAGCTCTTAGATCATCAAGTCCAACAATTAACCCAGCACTGCCAACCCCTCACTAAACCATGTCCTTAAGCATGACATCTACGTGTTTGTTGAACACTTCAAGGGACAGATACAGAATCATAGAATCACTAAGGTTGGAAAACACCTCAAAAATCACCGAGTCCAATATCTAACAATGCTGAGTAACCGTAGACTAATGCATAAATAGCCCTCAAAATAGATGCAGTTGATGTCATCTAAATGCACATCTTGACTCTCTCAAAGTTTCTTCTTCCCTTTCAAAACATTTCTTTGGGAAAAAAAAAAAAACCTTTAAAGAAGATGAAAAATTGGTGCAGCATGTATAGACCCAGAGCGGGCAGAATGAAATTTCACCCCAACAGGTTCATTTTGATGTAGTGTTGAAAGAGAGGCTTCTTCCCAAGGGTGACATCGCTGCTCGGTGAATCAAAAGCTGCAAAACTGAAGATGTCAAATCACAGACAACAGAACAATCGCATTCAGAAATGTGCCAGTCTTCATGAGCTCTGCAATCCTGTCTGGTCACACCAGCCCTGGCAGAGAAATGGTACATGCACACCTCTGCAAGGAGCACATCTGGAGAAACATCCACTGAGAAGAACTTTTGGAAAGGCAGTTGTGTGGCCAGAGGCAGAGAAGAATAACTGGGGAGAAGGAGCAATGTGCAAAGGGCAGAGCCACTCCTGCTGCCTCGGGAGGGGAGCAGGAGACCTCGGCTCACCCATGATGGGTCTGTGCTGCTACTGCCAGTCCTGGTGGGAGATGGAGCTCTGCTGGTGCGGAGCAGCCTCGGCTGACAGGACACCGGGCTGCAGGCTGACAGTGGGAAATCAGCTGGATAACTGTTCGGTAACGTGAACACTGCGGGATGGGGTTTTGCAATTCAAAATCTGGAGCTTCCGAGTCAGGCTCCTGCTTTTTCCTTCTGCTCTTCTTGTCCAACAAGATCCCTTCTAGTCTGGCCTGAGAAACCTGCAATATTGCCATCCCCAAGGCGATCAAAAAAAGTCACAAGCCAGACTTACTGCAACACCCCCCGCAATGAAGCTACTTAAAAACTGTGAGTTAAAACACACAGCATATCTGAAGATTATTTTTAATTTATATTTAAAACTTTAGCACCTACATTTTCATGCTTTTCCCTGCAAACACAAAAGGAAAAAGAAAGAAAACCAAGAAATCCATCACATCATCCTAAAATGTGGGTTACAAAGGCTCAATCCCCAGGAACACTGGGGGGCTACAAAGTTGTCACCCTTCTTCTCAGGGTCTGTCCTGTGCTCATGCTTCATTCTGCTCCTGTTCCTGGGATTTCCAGAGCCACTTCCAGGCCCCTCAGATATCCTCATACCTCACAGATGGACAGCAAGCTCAGAGAGAATAACCACCAGGAGCTGCAGGACCCTCTGCACACAAAGGAGGGACATGCAGGACAAGGTGCTTCTGACTCTGCGTGCATGGGGAGCTCACTGCGTGACTGAAACCTGAAATTTTGTGTTGACTGAAGCTAGGTGAGATTTTCAAGCTTCCTATCATTTTGGAAAGCATGTCCCAATATCATGAAGGCAATAACTTCTGAATGTTGATCTTACTGCTTGTCTGTCCACTGTAGCTCCCTCAGCTTGGGAGGATGGCACGAGGCTGGCACATTTAGCTCTACCTCTGGACTTTTCAACTTTAAAAGCAGAGGATGAATACCCACCTGGCTTTTTTCAGTTCTGTGGTTTACATTTTGAATTAAAGGAACCTCCATGCACAAAAGAAAACCCCAAAAAACCACATTACTTCTTTTTTGAACCACCACACAGTGCTGCAAGGGGCTGACTCACACTTCTCCCACTAAGGAGCTGATAAGGCTTTTAACTCTCTAACCATAATTGCTATACAATGACAGGCATGAGAGAAACAGAGACAGAATAGATTGGAGATGCTGTAAGGAAGGAAAATTAGGAGGGAATACCGAGAAGCATAGGGAGCATGCCACAGATGAGGCCAGTAAGACCAGAGCTGATGGGGAGGTAAACCAAATCCTTGGAGCTACTAAGGAGTGACTTTGTGCCACTCGGCGATCTGAGCCCTCCGTGGTGTCCAGCTGCAGCAGCTGCTGAGCAGCAAGTGGATGAAACGGGCAGAAACCTCCAGGTTTCTGCCTCCTCAATGTGCCTGGGAGTCCAGGGGTCGGGACCCCACTGCCCCTCGTGCTGAGCTCACCCCTGCTTGGCCAGGTGGCCTGGCAGGCTCCTCACACAGAGCCATGCGACAGCAGGAACAGCCAGAAAAGTCCTTCCAGCCGAATTTTAGTGACACCACGGTACCCCCAGGTGGAA